CTTGTATAATCATATGTGATTATAACAGATAATTGAACATAGATAAACTAAACATGTGCCACATATGATTAACAATATAATAAACTGACAATCACATATGATTAACACTATAATAAACATATTTTATAAAGAACTACAAAACAATCACATAACATAAATTTGAATATATATCAATGTATGAAATGTAAAATCACATGTGATTAAGAATAAATTTATTAACAAATCAAATGACTAATCACATGTGATTAGTAATGAATTCCTTGTATTATATGTGATTATAAGAAAAATTGAACATAGATAAAATAAACGGATGTAAATATTTATTAAAATATGAAGAAAAAATGAATAATCACATATTATTAACAAAATATTAATCACATTTACTAAAAAAAATACTGAATAATAACATAATATTATGAAAACAAATTCAATTCTAAACAGATCAATAAATAAAAATTACCTACAAAACTGCAAATCAGCAGATTTGGTTTTGATGACTTGATTTTTCAACAATTTCAACACTCTCAACAAAAGTATTAATTTGATCTTCATTTATAAAGAAACTCACATTATCGTTTGTGAAAGACATTGTCAAACAACAGAACCTGTCATTAACAACATAAACATTTATTATTAAAACAAATATTAATAATATATGATATAAAACACTATAATATAAAATGTAAATGTTATGCTATAATATAAAATATAAATGTTCATAACATTTGTTATTATAACATATATCAATCACATATGATTTTAAACATATATGACTAAAACATTTAGGATTACAAGAACATTTGAGAACAAAAATCCTACTTTAATTTGCAAGGTGGCACTTTTATAATTAAATAAAAAATTATAAAATCAAAATAGTTAAAAGCAATTAAAAAAACTCACTAACATACACCACTCACCACTCACCAACCATCCATCACCACCACCTACAACCTATAAACCACCACCATTACCAACCACACGTCACCACAACCAGCAACCCACAACCACCACCCAACACAACCAGCCAACCCATCACCCACCAAAACTACTACCACCACCCACCCACCACCACCATCCACCCATCACCACCCACCACCACTATCAACCACCCATCACCACAACCTAAAACCCATTACCACCATCCACCTCCACCACCTGCTAACACCACCCCCCACTCCCACCCCTACCACCCACCATCATGCACCCACCTCCACCACCCATCACGAATACCTCACCCGCCACTACCACCACCCACTTATCTCCACCAAGCAGGAAAGCACCACCATCACCACCACCACTATTCTCCACCACTACCACCCTCACCACCACCTACCACCCGCCATCACTACCAGACATCACCACCACCCGCCTCCACCAAACATCACCACCACCTGCCTCCACCACCCGTCACCACCTAACCATATCTACCACACACCACTACCTACCCACCACCACCTCCATCACCACTACTACCACTAATTACCACCCGCCACCACCACTTACCCACTACCACCCACCATCACCACCACCACCTGACACTACCACCCTTCACCATTACCCACCTTTTACCACTACTAATAACCATCACATGTCCCCACCACTCATCACCACCATTATCCATCACCGTCACATGCCTCTACCACCCAGCCATCACCATCACCTACCACTCACTATCATCAATATCACCCATCACCAACAACCACCACCTACAACTACCACCCACTAACACAACCAACCACCCACCCACCAACATCATCACCACCCATCTCCACCATACCACCATGTATTACTACCTACAATCAAATGTGATTAAATGCATATAATCACATATATCATGTTTGATTCTATGTATTTAATCACATAAATCACATATGATTAATACATATAATCATATGTGATTATATGTATCTAATTGCATATGATTTATATAAACAAGATTTGTTTTCAAGTTTTCCATTCAATATGATTAATATGGACAAAAATTATTTTCATGTTTTTTATTCAATGGTTGTTCTCTTATATATTTAATAACATGTGATTATATGATCTAATCACATATGATATATATATATATATATATATATATATATATATATATATATATATATATATATAGACAATATTGTTTTTTATCTATATAAATCATATGTGATTAGATACATATAATAAAATATAATTAGATGTATTTAATCATATGTTATTAAAGTTGACAAACAATAATTATTGAATCGATAATGCGATAATGAATCTTATCAACATAAATCATATACGATTGGATACATATAATCACATGTGAATATATATATATATATATATATATATATATATATATATATATATATATATATATATATATATTATATATAATCAAATATGATTTGTGCGGACAATATTTATTTTTGCGGTTTTGATTCAATAATTGATCTCGTGTATTTGATAATATATACTTACTATAGACAAAAATTTGTTTTCACGTTTTGGATTCAATGGTTATTCTCTTCTATATAATCATATGTGATTATATGTATGTAATCAAATATAATTTATATAGACAATATTATCTTTGTCTATATAAATTAGATGCGGTTAGATACATATAATCATATGTGATTAGATTTATTTAATAATGTATGGTTAAAGTTGACAAAAAAAGTTATTGAATCAAGAACGTGATGATGAATCTTCTCCACAAAAATCATATTCGATTGGATATATATATATATATATATATATATATATATATATATATATATATATATATAAATCACATGTGATTATGTATATTTAATAAAATATGATTTATATGGATAATATTTATTTTTGTGGTTTCGATTTAATAATTTGTCTCATGTATTTAATCACATGTGATTATATGTATTTAATCACATATGATTTATATGTACAAGATTTGTTTTCGCGTATTTGATTCAATTTTTGTTCGTGCGTATATAATCAAATATGATTATATGTATCTAATCACATATGATTTCTATAGACAACATTTTTTCAAAATAAAATCATATGTGATTAGATACATATAATCACATGTGATTAAATGTATTTAATCACATATGATTAAAATTGACAAATAAATATTATTGAATCGAGAACGCGAAGATGAATCTTGTCCTGATAAATCATATGTGATTGGATGCATATAATCATATGTGATTATATGTATCTAATCATATATATTATAATATATATATATATATATATATATATATATATATATATATATATATATATATATATATGAACAATATTAATTTTTGCATTTTCAATTTAATAGTTGATCCCGTGTGTTTATTCACATATGATTTTATGTAGTTGATCACATAAGATTATGTAGAAAACATTTTTTTCTCGTTCTTAATAGAATAGTTGTTTTCATGTATATAATCACATTTGATAAGATGTAGTTAATCACGTATTATTAAAGTTAATCAAGAACAATTATTGAATCTAGAACTTGAAAATGAAACGTATTAACATAAATCATTTGTGATTGGATACATATAAGCACATGTAATTATATGTATCTAATCACATATGAGTTATATGGACAAAATTCGTTTTTGCTATCTCTATTCAATAGTTGTTCTAATGTATTTAGCCATATGTGATTAAACCATGTTATTTGCATGTGATTAAGTTATTAACATGTAACTAGAACCTATGGTTCTCCGATCATTCCAACAAGCTAACATTCAGAGGTGAAGCGAGGAAGTGAAGAGATAATTTGGAGAGAGTGAAGAGGCAACGTTCCTATGGTTCTCTGATCATTCCAACAGTGTTTCGGTCGTTACCGTCGACGATACTCCAATTGTCTTCGGTTGTGCAGCTTCAAAGTGAGATACGGATTATGCAAGCCAACTAATTTAATTGAGTAAGCAGTTAGGTAGGGGTAGGGGGGTTAGAATAAAAAAAACAAGAAAAAAGAAAATCATTTTTTTTTGTAATTTTGTCTGCAACAGTTATGTGGTCTAAATTTATTTTAGATTCTTCTCAAAATATGAATTTTTCTGATTTGAACACACACACACACACATATATATATATATATATATATATATATATATATATATATATATATATATATATATATATATATATATATATATATATGAAAACCGGTTTCGGCGGATAGTAGTTCTGTAAAAATGATAACCGAAACCAAAACCACTTAAGGCAGATTAGGAACCGATGCACTTTTGGTTCCAAAAGTGCCTAACCACTTTTGATGGTGTCTCAAAGTAATATTTGACAAACTCACAACTGAATTACCTTTTTGAAAGTAATGTGATCTACCAAAGCTTAAAGAAAACATCATTAATGTAAAAAAAAAAAAGTTCACTTTTCCGAAGTTCGTATTTGTGAGCACCATATATCACATCATGGCTTATAAACTATGTAGTCCGTGTTTGAGCTAATCATTCATATTCCATTGTTGTAAGATCTTGATCGAAATGGGTGTTTAAATACTTTACAATAAATTTGAGTATTATTGCACTTATGGGTTGTGCAGTAAACGGCGGGCAGGCGGTAGGTATGAGTTTGAAAAGTTGAAGGGGAAGTATGGGTGAGTTTACGAAGATTTTTATCAGACTGTTCCTGGTCCCCCTTCCTAGCTCTATCAATATAAGCATTTATTGCCACCATGTTCAGACAATCCTTATAGAAATCTTCTGTTGAATCTACAACCACACACATAAAGCAAATGAGTGAAAATGAAAAATCAGATAAACTTTTCCAGATATCAAACTTCTTATTAAAATTTATCAAACTTATTTTGTAACAACTGTGGATGCTTTGTACCCATCAGGACAGACATCAAAACAGGTCATTTTGTTCAGATTTAAATGTAAAAACATTACTTCTCCTTTTACATGATCAATATATATATAAGTATATATAGCTGGTGACTTTAGTTTTTTCCCTTCAGATCAATCAAAGGGATACAATGATCAGCACTAGCATCCAATTTTGTGCAGGCTTCAATGTTCTTGCTGTCTGTTGCTGCTCTAAGGACTGGAGTAGAGTGAAGAGGATAATGACGTGTATGTTATAAAGCTTCTTGACGTGTAAGGTGGGCCCCTTATGTGTCCAGATTTTTTTATTTTAAATGTGGTGCCTCGATCCCATTCGTAGTCGTTCAATCATCTCTTTTATTCTTCGTAGAGAGAGAAAGATCGATCCCCGTCAATGGCAGCAAGTTCTAGTGACGATATGATTGGTTGGTTTGAAGGAGTAGCAAAGAATGCTGGGAAAGTTCAGATGGAAATACTGAAAATGATTCTTGAAATGAATCAAGGTGCGGAATATCTGGAGAAATGGTTGGGTGATATCGATGTTGATAAGATGGATGCGGAAGCATTACAGTCGATTTACACATCAATGGTGCCATTAGCTTCTCATGCAGATTTAGAGCCGTATATTCAGAGGATTGCTGATGGAGAGACGTGTCCTTTACTCACTCAGCAACCCATCACAACTCTCTCCTTAAGGTATACATACTTCTATATCATTATAGATCTCAAGATCGAAGAGATAATTTATACTTTATAGTATCTCTTTGGGATTTTTTTTTTCTATGAATCGCTTATGTGATCAACATATACAAAGAAACGATAAAGAAACCAAAGAGAACCCATAAAAATAAACCATATCTCTATTCCTTTCCTTCCTTATTTTAAGGATTTAAATGAGTGGGTGATCTGCGTCAAACGTTGGACTAAAATCTCCAACTCTAGAGAAGATATCTCTAGATGTGGAAATACTAAAAAGAAACAAATTGAACACGAGATTTAATTCCCTTTATCTTTTAGAGACAAAGGGTATATTTTCTAAAGCATCTTCCATCGGAAATGAATATATACACGGTAAGTAATTCAATAGATACCCAACATGTGATAAAAACTATTTTATATACGGAGAAGTCCAGTCACTATATATTGTTGTGCTTTTTTTGAAAAGATTATTCTCTTAGAGAATGCTAACATAAAGAGTTCTCATTCGTGGTGTATTGTACAGCTCTGGAACAACTGAGGGTAGACAAAAATACGTCCCCTTCACTTCCCATAGCTCTAAGACCACTCTCCAAATCTTCAAGTTAGCTGCAGCTTATAGATCAAGGTCTCTCTCTCTCTCTCTCTCTCTCTCTCTCTCTCTCTCTCTCTCTCTCTCTCTATAACGTTCCGAGAATTTTTTTGAAGGGTTTATCCAACAAGGGAAGGAGGCAAGATTCTTGAGTTTATCTACAGCAGCAAACAGTTCAAAACGAAGGGTGGGCTATCCGCAGGAACAGCCACAACACATTACTTCGCAAGCGAAGAGTTTAAGCTCAAACAACAAGAAACCAAGTCATTCATTTGTAGCCCCGAGGAAGTCATCTTCAGTGGCGACTACAAGCAATCAACGTATTGCCACTTCCTCCTCGGACTCTTTCACTCTCCAGAAGTTGAATTCATCACTTCGACATTCGCATACTGCATCGTCCAATCACTGACCTTGTTCGAAGATTATTGGAGAGATCTATGCAACGATATCTCCACTGGAACTTTGAGTCCTCGGATCACGATCCCATGCATCCGAAGATCAGTTCTAGATTTGATCAAACCCAACCCCGGTTTAGCAAAGTCGATAAGATCAAAATGCGAGGAGTTAGAGGCATCAGATTGGTACGGATTGATACCTATGTTGTGGCCAAATGCAAAGTATGTGTACTCGATAATGACAGGTTCGATGCAACCCTATATTGAAAAACTAAGGCATTACGCAGGGGACCATTTTCCATTGGTGAGTGCAGAGTATGGGGCCACTGAGAGTTGGATTGGGGTGAACATGGACCCTTCTTGTGCACCGGAGAATGTAACTTTCACGGTGGTTCCGACATTTTCTTACTTTGAGTTCATACCATTGCACCGGCCACATCATAAAGCTTCCGAAGCCGTTGCTGGTGGTGATGGTGGTTGTGGTGGTGGTGGTGGTGGTGGTGAAGACTACGTAGAAGATGATCCAGTACCATTATCTAGGGTGAAGATTGGTCAACAGTACGAGATTGTCCTTACGACATTCACAGGTAAATCTTGAACTTATTGATCCCCTTCTATCTCCGGATTCACATGTCAAGAACTGACATACATAGACTCGATTTGATAGTTTGATAAGGACTAGTATTGAAATGCCATAGTGCATTTCCGTCCAAAGATAATAAATTATGCCTTGAAAATGGTAATGATTACGTTAATTGTTTGTTTATATATTGATGCTAACAAGTCACTTGTTTTCATTAGCTTTAAATTATAAATTCTAACCACTTGAAGATATTACTTCAATTCTTTCTTCTATGAAATATTATTACTCGAGATTAATAATTCCTTGGAATTTTACCTTTTTGACATGTATTTCACATTTGGATACTCTGATAAATAATAATCAGAAGAGTTAAATATGGCTGTCAATGTCAGATCCCGACCCGCGGGTACCTTGTCTGTGGTAGCGACAGCAAACACTACATACCACAAACAATATTCTTTTAAAGAAAAATGCAACCATATATAAACAAACTAGAAATTTTATATATCATACTATAAAAAGCAATTTGCTTTTATCATATACTATTTTATAGATTTCTTAACACGTGTGAAATTCTATATTAGATATTTAATGTGTGAAATTCTATATTAGATATTTACTAGAGCTATCGTTTTACTTGTGAAAAATGGTTTTATTATTTATTGAGATAATCAATAAATGACCATATTATGAAAATGCCTTTAACAAATTGATTTGATCCCATTCTTCATCAATCATCAATCACAAAAGGGCCACTAATTTTATAACCCTTCAATTAATGCAGGATTCCAAATAAAATTTAAATTGATACCCAACACAAAAGAAAAAATTGAAATTTTATATTACTTAAAGTTTATATTTCATTATTAAGACACTTTCCAAATATTTAGTAAAAGTTGTAAAAATGTTCTTATAATTTTGAAATAGGTTTTTTCAAAAAAAAAATAATAAATAAAATAAAAATCAGAACTTTTTTAAGGTCTTGTACGTAACTAGTGTCGACAAATTTTCAGTTTGCAACTTGACATGTAACATAATTGTTAATCATTTTTATGATTAGCGGACAAATTTTCAGTTTGCAACTTGACATGTAACATAATTGTTAATCATTTTTATGATTAGCGGCGCAGCTTGTTGCCCGTTTGCCTTCAATCGATATCTATTGAAGTTATATCTAATAAACCGGTCTTTATTTTTACCAAAAAAAAAATTATTATTAATTGTTTTTACTTTTTTGTTTGAACGGCTTAATGCTTAATGCTTAATATAAATAGTTACCCAAAAAAAAAAAAATCAAAGTAATCAAAACTTTATTATTTCTATGAACAATATTTATTATACTAAAAATTGATTTTATACTTTTAAATGATAACTTTTATTTTCTAAATATATATATATATATATATATATATATATATATATATATATATATATATAACATAAATTATATTATAAAAAAATATTAATTAATACAAAATGCCAAGATTAAATATAATATTAAATTTATTATCGATATTAAATTCTTAGTGTAATTGACAAATTTAATAATTATATAGCTTTATTTAATTAACGAATGTGTATATATATATATATATATATATATATATATATATATATATATATATATATATATATATATATAAATATTAAATTATTAGTGTAGTTGATAAATTTTATAATTATATAGCTTTATGTAATGTAGTGTGTGTATATATATATATATATATATATATATATATATATATATATATATATATATATATATATATATATATATATATATGTTCAATAAGAAATACATAACTAGGACAACATATGTTTGTATCAATGATCAAGTGACAATCTCTTTATTCGTAAGTAATGTATTATAGAAATCATTTATATTATTTACTCTAAAATGATGTGTTGTCATATATTCATTGGTTATACCTTTTGTTACTCTAATCACGTGTTTTCTATAGAACTGTCTCTTTTATATATATATATATATATATATATATATATATATATATATATATATATATATATAGTATGAAAGATAAAAAGCCCACAATTTACATGTGTTTTGTTTAATCCATGGAATAATCATTAGATTAAACAAATATATATATATATATATATATATATATATATATATATATATATATATATATATATATTAAAATACACACTTTATTCACAAAATCAGATTCTTGAAAAAAAAAACATTAATCATTAATTTTTTTATTGAATCAAGTTTTGATTCATTTTCGGAAAAACTTAAATGAATCATCAATGCATTTTTATAATTTTTATTGTGCAAATGATATTATTTTTGTATTATCTAAAGATTTATTTTATTGATTTGCCACAAATCATACAGACGGTACATTTGTTTTCATTCGTAGTATATATATTAAAAACAAAATGTAAATAAAAATTTATACTAGAACAAGATGTAATTACTTAACTAATGACAAAAATACAATATTAAAATCTAGTGCAAACTTAAAGTTAATCAAATGATTAATGTACATAAATAGTCTTTGTGGTTTTGGATAACTCACGTCTTTAATTTTGTAATTTTTTCTAATTGTAGTATTTTTTATTAATTTTATTTTTATAAAATTAACAAAGTACAATCACTCTAAGCTATAGTGCAAGCATCATCATTCTACCTCAAATACGACTTACCTAGATACATTGACCTCCTGTAAAACAAAAACGACGTCAATAAGAAAACCATTCATCTTCACTCGTCGGACCAATCTATATGTCCACTCTACTTTTCTCTATCTCACTTGTAAGCAGATAACACTTGAAAGACTTACCATGGACCTCCGATGACCACTAAATCTCTTAATACGTTGATGAAATGTGAATATACTTCGCCTCTCTATCCTTTGATGTGTCCTGAAACTCCAATCCCTATTTGAATCTACTCCTTGTCGAAGAAGAATGAGGTTAGTGTTTTTTCAATCTTTGTGCAATTTGAAATTGACATATGTTTCATCAGATTATGCATAAAACTTAGAAGCAACCAAAGCATGTGAAGGGTTTTATCGTTTAATCATCCATGGGGTTTTGATTTATAGGAACAATCTCAGATTGTGTAAATAATTGATTTCAATTTCATTTTTAGTTTGTGTTTTTTCTGGGTTTAAGAAAAGATGTGGTTGTGATTGTCGGAATTGACTACATTGATTTCTAGTTTCCTTGTTCATGCGAACTCTTGGTAAGACGAAGATCAATGTGTTCCAAGTGAGATGAAGGAGATGGGACAATTTTGGTTTTCCGACGAGTGGGTTTTCCGACAAGTGGATTTCTGGTCGATTTTTTCATGTTTAGGTTTTCCGGCGAGTGGGTTTTCTAGAAAA